CCATGGTGTGAGGATACTCAAGCAATCTCATGGAGAAAGCCACTAGGAGACCAGCTATTGAATCTCACCAACAGCTGGCATGAGTAGCTGGGAAGCAGACCCAGCCAATATCCTGAAGTAAACTTCAAGAGGCCTTCAGCCAGGAGGGCCTTGTTATAGCAAGCTCCTAATCCACAAAAACTGGAAGATCATAAGTTGTTATATAGTTCCTTTGAGCCACTCTGCTGTGAGACAATGAATATTTAATAGGTATCTAAGCTCATAACTAGTGTTACTTACTTCATTTAAAGAATTTCCTTACCTACTTATCAATTTTTTTATTATACCAGAAATTTGCCTCTCATTATAACCTTTCAGTCCCTCACTGTATAGGGGTGATCATCAATAAATATATGTTAAGTGTCCACCAAACTTCCCTCACTCTCAAAGTGAAGAATCTTGAAAACTTTAATTCTCACCCAAGTGAGAATGAGATATGAGAACTTCAAACAAGCCAGCATGTAATCATGGGCCGGCCCTGTCTTGTTACATTTTCTCACTGCTGAGACAAAATACCTGACACCCAAAGTTAAGGAAGGAAAGGGTTATTTAGCTTCTAGTTTGTAGAGGTTTCAGTCCATAATCAGGTGATTCCAAGGCATAATCAGGTGGCTTGGCAGAGGGGTATGACACAGGAGAAACAGCTAATGGCAGCAGAAGACAGCAAAAGCAAGCCAGGAAAGGAAGGGGAAGACTCTTTATGTCCCTTACATTGAATGAAGCTGCCCACCTAGGGTGAGTGAAGCACTCACATTCTTAATCTTAGGTGATGAATCAGTCCCAAACTCTAGATTCAGCTACCTTTGAAAAGCCCATTTCCCATGACTGCATGAGGCTTTAGGGGGAAATCTAATGCAAGCCGTAACAGACCCAGAAAGGAAGATAGAGAGAAGCCCATCTATCCTGAAGATACCTGTGAGAACACCCTCTTGGCCATGGAGTTGACCATATCCTAAGCCCCTTTCTATCCCTAGCAAGTTGGCCAACTGACTTTGCCTCCCAGAAAGACCAGATTTAGTCATGGCCTTAACTTAGGCATTGTCCTCTCTTTTCTATGGGAGCTCAATGGAATTACCTGGCCAGCCCAGACAGAAGACTGCATTACAGACAATTGTAGCTGCCCAGAAAACCTCCCAGACCCTGTATAAAAATAGTTACCACTTCTGCTTAACACAAGAAATGTAGATACTAGGATTGAAGTGGAAAAATCTTTCTGGGAGTTTATATCAGAACTCGGTATGGACAGGTTATTTTTAACAAACTCCCCTTGGTGGGAATTCAGCAAAGAGGTGGGCATGGTGTGAACACATTGGCTAAGACGGGGAGCACCTGGGGCTGTTCCTCACAACCAGGGACACCACTACTTCCTCCCTCCTCAGAGTTCTAGTCAGGTTGGAAGAAAAAAATGGATTTCAGACCAGGAGTTATGCCAGTCCAGGAAAACTCAATAAAGTCTACATGCATAAAAGAGGTGTGCGAAGGCTGCTCATTTGACGTCAAGACGGGTGAAGAAAAACCCTCCCTAATTCCTAGGAATGGAGATGAAAGTGTGGAGGGGCCAGCTCAGCCTCTCCCAACAGTGAGCAGTGGCTTTGTTACAGCAGCAGCAGCGAGTGCAAAGAGCTCTCCACGCGTTAACACGGGAACCAGACTTACATTTCCTTTCCAATAAACAGTTCCTGGTGCAAGCCCAGCAAAATGGAAGGACAGCGCAACCAGAATGAAAATGGGCACCATCACAGTGTACTTTATTTTCCCTTCTCAAACAACTATGAGCATCTAACAGAACACGTGGCTGGAAAATTCCACTGGCTCCTGGGCTCAGCCTCATCCCGCTCTGCCTCATCAACTCTCTAGACAGGTCCCAAAGCTGCTACCACCTCATCTTTTCCAGATGGGGAGCAGCCCTTGGTCCTGTGCTTGCCTCCAGTCTTTATTGCGGCTCCATTCATATTCACCTCCGCGGTGAGCTCACCCAGTCTATGACTCTATAACTCAGCTCCAAGTTGACAACTCCCAATTTCTACTCCAGTCCAGGGCTTCCTCGCAAGCTCCAGACGTGAACAGCCATCTCCCTTGGAACATCATCACCTTGATGTCTGCGGGGCTTTGCCAGTGGAGCACTGGGAAACTCAGAGCTCAGAACGAAGCCCCTGATTTTCCTGCATTCTTAACCTCACTCTGTCTGTACAGAGACTCAGAACTTCCAAGTCATCCTTAATTTTTCTCACTCCCTGTCCATCAGAGACTACTGAACACTGCTTTGAAAATATCTCCAATCCAACCACTTCTCCAAAACCACCCACTCTCCCTGAATCTCTGCAAAGCCACCTCATAGATCTTCCTGCCCTAGATGCCCATCTCCAACACAGAAGCCAGCAGTATCCTTTAAATACCTGAATCAGATTAAAATTTTTTGTTTTGTTTTGTTAAAACCCTTTAGTGGCTCCTCACTTCCCAGAGGCTTCAGCTGGTCTGGCAAGTCACAGCTCCCAAGAGCAGGTGTTTGGGCCAGAACCAGAGATCCAGAGAGACTCTGGGAAGGGCTAAAGATGTAAAATGGAGAGAAAAACACCATGAAGCCACTTATGAAGTCAGTGCACAAACACACCCCCAAAGGGAAATTGAATCTAATCAAGTTACTAGATCCAATTAACTGATTTACAAGAAATACCAAGGAATATATTAAGTGACTGGAGGAACTCTAGAGGAATGACAAATGCATCACAGACAGAGGTGATTAAAAGGTGGCTCGGAGTCAAGAAAATGATCAACTGATCATGGTGTGTGGGCCTCACCCAGATCAATTCAAAAGCTCAAACACAAATTTATAAAATGAATGAGAAAATCAGAAATTTGAACACTAATGTTTGATAATATTTTATTAAGGTGTGATTGTTGTACTGCTGCATTGTGGTTTCTTGTTTTGGCTGTTATTTTTTTAGGAGTTCTTACTGTTTACAGATACATAGGGAAAGGTTCACGGAGGAAATAACATGAGATCTGAGATCTGCTACAAAATGCTGCTGAGGGAAGGCTGCAGCCTGGTGAACCAGGACTGGCTCTGAGTTGATAATCGTTGAGGTGGGGTAAAGGGTACATGGGGGTTCATTATACTGTTTGGCTGAATTTTCACTTTTTATACTTTTGAAATTTTCCATAATAAAAAGTTATAAAAACACTAGGCCTCACCCCTGGAGATCCAAATTCATTAGTCTGGGCTTCAGCTCAGAAGCTGTAGTTTTTAAACCACCCTGGGTGTTTCTAATCCTTTGCCAAAGTTGAGAACTACTGCAATCATGTGGCTTGTGCTAGGACTTAGGAAGAGACCATCGGGAAGGGGACTGGCCTGGAGGCCAAGGAGCACATGGTCCTTGATCTTGGGGGAAGGATGAGGAGGTAGGGTAGAAGAAATGAAGATAAGTAGGAAGGAGACAAGGAAGCAATTTTTGTCTCCCTTATTTAAAACTCTGGGTCAGATTACTACTTACCTTTGCAGGTAAGAATGGTAATTATTTAGGAAAAGTTAAGGTTGGGGATTTAGCTCAGTATAAGTGCCTGCCTGGCAAGGGTACAAGGTCGTGCATTCAATCCATGGTACCCAAAATAAATAAATAAATACAATTTAGGAAAAATTGGCAAAATAAGATTATTAGCCCTAAGTTTACTCAGTCTATCTCATCCTCCTTCAAGACGAAGGGCACCAAGATAGGAGTAACTAAAGTAATTCTCAAGGTTTGCATGGATACTCATCTGGAGTTTTGTAGAACATCTAGTTCCAGGTATCCCTAGTAGGATGCTGAGAACCTGTGGTCCTAAACCTGTGGTCATCTGGATTCCAGGGAAAGCAGAGCCACAAGATCACCAGCCCAGATTTCCTCTTTCAAACAGGACCACTTTAGCTCACCCTTCAAAGCTGGCTTTTGCCTGTGTGACCAGCCAGTCTGAACCCCTGTTACAGCAAGCCCTTTCTGAAGCTGCTTGGACCGGCATCTTTTCCTGTTCTCCCTCACTTTCTAACTCATGTAGTAAAACGTGTCCTTAAATTCTATTTCCGTGACATGAGTCAGGCTAAATTGAGGTCCCTATCTAATGACAGGGTGACTGTGAAGTGTGGGTCACTGGAATAGGAACCATGTCAGAGCTGGGAGCTTTGGGCGTCTGGGAGAAGGTGCTGAGTGTGTTTTGAACACTCTGATGTTGAGGAAGCCTGAGTGACTTGGTGGTGACATTCCATAGGTGATATGGCTGTGGACGGACAGTCATGTGAAAAGCCTGAAGAGACACAGCAACTTGAGCCCTAGCAGGCCACCCCTAAACTGGAACAGAAGTCGGGTGACTGCAGTCAATGACAGTACCCTAGTGCCAGCTTCATTCCTCACCCAGCCTCCCAATTCTCCTTCCTCAGATAAAAACCCAAAAGGGAGCTGACCAGGGAGAGGATCATGTCTTGCTGGGCAGGGCTGAGGGTCCACATCCTGTCCTGAAAGCTCATGCAGATCATGGCATTTGTTGAGCAAATGAATGCCATGAGTGATTCAGAGCTGCAGGAAATCCTCACAGCATCAGGCAGGGCCACCTGAGCCAGTGACCGATCGATCACACTGGCTTGAAACAGCCAGTGCACATTTATTCCACAAACATTTCCTGGATGCCTGTGTCTTCCGGGAACTCTGCTGGGTCAGGGTGGCTGGAAGCCTAGTGCCTGGGAGCTGGATTCTAGCGGGGGAAACAGGCAGTAAACTAGTAAACAAAGACATACCAGGTCTGGGGTTTATCAAATGAGTTTCAGCTGGTGGGAGGGCCACAGAATCTCAGAGTTACCTCAGGCTGTCAGGAAAGTTGCCAAACTCCCCTGTTTCTTAGGCAGTGACTTTATTCTTTGACCTGCTAAACCATGAGGCCTAGCTTTCTTTTCTGAGGACCCAAGGCTGCCCCCCCCCCCAGGAGCAGGGACTTACCACTGAGTCCAGGAACTGAATGTAGCACTCCAGCCTAGGCCTGGTTTCACAGAACTGTCGGAAAAGCAGCCTCCCAATTGGCTGCTTGTCACACAAACTGCAGTAATCTCTGTCTGGAGACAAGATAAGAAAAATACAATCAGACCCAGGGGAGGGCCAGGCAGGGCTATCCCATCAGCCTACACCCAGGTCTAGAGTCCCAGCTGGACAGAGCAAGGTGATGGCAAGCTCTTGGGACCTGTGCATCTCACAGGCTCTGCAGGTGCACAGAGACAAGGTCAGAGCAGAGGAAGGCTCCAGTCATCACCTGGCATCTGTTCTCCACCCTCTCCACCTTTCCAGAGCCCCTATTCCATATGGCGATATCAGTGGTTCTGGATACTACGGCTGTGTCCCCTGACCAGTCAATCCATGTCACTGGACAAGCTGGCAAGCATGTGACCTACACCTGTCTACTCAGATGAACCGCTGATTGCATAGCAGAAGCCAGGGCTGAGGTGCTCTCTGTGGAGGCTAGTGTGTGGGTGAGGCCAGGGTTTGCTTCAGTGCCCTTTGCCGAAAAAGGCAGCTGTGATGATAAGGCTGACTCCCGGAGCAGGTCAAAGCTGGAGAAAGGAATAAGCAGAGCCAGTCCCCTGGTGATGTCATGGTTCTCTGAATCAAACCATGCCTGCCACCCAGACTACATCTGAAAAGCTTATTTATGAGGCAACACATTCCCTTTGTTTACAGAAGTTTGAAAAATTTTCAAATTACTTATAATTCAAAGCATCCTAATAAATACAGTAAAAAAAAATCAGTTCTTTCTCAATTGGAACAAAGCTCACTTTTTAGGATGCTTCAAATCTAGCATTTCTCAGCTGAGAAGCTAGACTCGTGGAGACAGAAACTGACCCACTTCTAGTCTCCCAGTAGCCAAGACGGCTCTGCAGAGGAATCAGTGTAAGTCTCCCAGCCCTAAGCTCCAGAGATGGGAGCCATGAGGCGCTTTGTAACTTCAAGTACCCCACTCACCGTCTCTGAGCCTCAGTTTCCTCCTCTAAACACCAAAAGCACATGTTTGGAGTTAAGATGAGGTCCTTTCTGGTCTCAGTAAGATCTGCGTAAGCAGAAAGATGCTCAGAGAACTAAGACACACTGCCTTAGATTCTCTCAAGCACTTCCTATTTGCAGTTACATTGGAAGCTCTGAGAGCTTGAGGACAGTGACACGGTTGGAAGGAAAGACTACATCTTTGCTAGGCATGGAGATACCAGATGAATGTCCTCTAGAGAGGGGTTCTATGGAGATACAGGCCTAGGAAAGAGGTCCAATCATTCCACTCTCAGGTCCCAAAGCACTTGTAGGCAGGAAGGTATGTGTGGATGCTGGGGCTACACCATTGGGGTTCAAGCTCTACCACTGACTGTACAATCTGGGGCAACTGACTTGACTTTGCCCTTCAGTTTCTCATCTGAAAGCCAGATACAGTAATAGTATGTGTCTCCTCAGACCATCATTGGGATTAAACAAGACAATGCATTGGAAGCACTCAGACCACAGCCTGGCACATAGGAAATACTCAATAAACACTATCATTGTCCTCTTGGATGTGGTTGTCATATGTGCCATCTCCTTTCTTTTAGAAAACCTCACCTCCCTGTCTGAACAAATTCTGCCCAAGCTCCCTGGTTCTGAAAGAAAATGCCTCTCTGGAGATGGGTATGTGACTCAGCCCCAAGCAATCAGTTTTCTGTCCTCTAGCCACAACAAGAGGTTCAAGGATGGGCACATGGTTTGGACCCAGCCACTCAGAGCCTTTTCTATCCCAGTCACAACAAGGTCAAGGATGGACAAGTGACTCACTTATAGCCACTTGGAGGCCTCTGCTGACCACAGTGACAGGTTTAAGGGAGAGGCCCATGACTTGGTCCTAGTCACTGAGGTCAAGGCATGTGATCTGAATGGAGCCTGAAGTCCTCAATGGGCTCTCGCCATAACTTCCTGGACAGGTACTTGGTCATCTTCAGACGGCAAGGCCTTAGAACCTGTCAGACTCTCTTTCCCTCTAAGCAGGGAGAGTTCACACAGAAAGAAGGAAGGAAACGCAGCCAAGTGGAGAAGAGAGGGGCCCCTCCAAGTGCTTCACCTGAGGTCAGGGCTGGACCTGGGTGTCTACTTAGCTGACAGGATATTCAGTGGCATTGCTGTCTGTCTCTTGGAATAAAAAGAACAGTGAGGAATTCAAGTGCTCCTTTCCAGGGTGCATTGCCTGAGGGCAGGGACTATTTTGTGGTTACTCATTTTGTAAGTATTGCATTCAGGAAACTAAAAATGTTACATTCTCTCAAGTGGATCCTTTGACCCACAGGGATGACCACTTTCTGGATCCCCTACTTGGACCTCTCTGCACCCTGGTCTGATGGCTCCCATGCGCCTGGACCTTGCTGTAGCTCTGCCCTTCAGCATGCAAGCAGCACTATTTTTCCAAGCACAGATGGCTCCTGAGTAGCCCCTCCACCATGCATTTAACCTCAGTGTGTGCCAGGTTCTGACGGGGCTGGAGGGCGAACTGCCTGTCTGGAAAGGGCAGCAGGCCTGTGTGTGGGTGAGCAGAGAAGATGCCAAATGACAGTTATAAAATGTCAAAATAGCTGAGTATCATTGTTAGCCCTAGCGGGGAACCTGGTCTCAGCAGCCCATGACAGGTCTGCAGCCAGCACCTGTTCGCACGCAGCCCGTAGCACAGCCTGACTGCTCCCCCGCTCCCACTCGGCCTCAGCCCCCAAGGGGAGAAAAACAAACCCTCGCATCCAGCACCAACACAGCACTGAAGTAAATTACCTGTGTCAAACTTTGATTTATTCAATTACAGGAGAGAGTACAGTGCGTGTTATGTGATTTGAGGAAGGTAATCCTCCCCGCTTCCAAAAGCAATTATGAGATTTCTCGCACCATATTGTGATTCCTTAAGAGTTTATCTGACAGGCTTTCTCCCTCTCCATATGGCATTTGCTGTCAGTATGGAAACAAGGCTGTTACAAACGCACAGCACAGTAAACACCACGTGACTCTGACATAAGCTGTCAGCACCTCAGCTCTGTGCCTCTCCCAACTGTACAGAGGATTCCGGGCAAGAGAGTCGCTCGCTGGATCCCCAGGAAGAAATAAAAGGCCCCAGTAATCATCTTTTTGGAGTTTTCCTCAGTCTCAATAAAAATGAATGAGGCCACCTTCTGAGGAAGCACTCAGAACAAGGAAATCAAAACACAGTTATGAAATTTGTATAAAAGTGGATAAGGAGGCGACAGGAGGAAGAGTATGAGTTTGGGGATGATTGAGTTACCGGGACAGTGCACGAGCAAATCTGAGGTGCAGATTCAGATGATGCTGACGTTGGGGCTCTGCTGTGCATGCTTGGAGCAGGCTCTTTCTGGTCCATGTTACTGGCAGAAGCTGGCTGCACTGAGAAACCCAGGTGGTAAGGGGCTGCTTGTCACCCCACTCCCCATTTTGGCAACCATGGCTGCTGAGGATAAGCACCAGGAGAGGCAGAGCCCATTCCCTCTGCCTCTCAGGCTGGGCAAACCTGGAATGCTATATACAAAGGCACACATGCACTACACACACTGTACACAATTGTACACACACTCACCCTGGCTCTTCTAAAACACAGAAATCTTGCTTTGGGCCATCTGTTCTTTTAGCATTTTCCTTCAAGCCAGAAAGAAGCTGTTACTGTGTGACATGAGGGAGATCAGGCTCCCTGCTGTAAAGTCTACAAACCACCCAAGCATTCTAACTTTGTTCTTTTGGGCCCTTCATTAATTCAACATTTACTACGAAGCTCTCTCATTTCTTGATAAGTCCTAAGTGTCTCTTTTTATTTGGGGCTGGGTCTGTGACCTCTGTAGCATGCCACTAAATACAACTTCATGAATGGCTTGAAGAAAATGAACAAAAAGTGGAAGACTGCTTGAGGATGACAGGTGAGGCAGGAAGGAACAGACATCACATCTGTGTTAAGAAAGATGTTCTGCAAGTCAGCAGGCTTAGCTCTGAAAGTGACCGACTGAAACACACGTGCAAACATGCAGGGACAGCTGAGTCACTTCCTTCTCTACCTTTCCCAGGTCCAGCAGGACACATACTGAGTTGTCAACCAACAGAGGGCGCAAAAAGACAAGGGCCCTGTCCTCTCCACCTTCACCTGGAAATGCCTGGCTGCTTTGCCTAGGCCTCCTCCCCTTGCTTCTTGGTCTGTCCTTTACTGAGGACGTGTCTTTGGCAGAGTGTGGTCTCTACTCTACCCAGTTATGCTCTGTGAACTGTGAGTGGGTCATTTCCACCATATACATACAGTGGTTACTGAAACAGATCTTAAAGGTCTCAGTTTCTTTATCCATAGAACAGGGGAGTTAAACTGAGTTCCTTTGCAGCTTGGAGACCTCCTTGGGTACCAGAGTCAAAAAACCAGATAATTTAGAGGGATCAGGGCCAGATTCAGGATCAGTTCAGGAGCTCAATTTTAATCAGGATTCCAAAGTTTTCTGTCCCAAAGTGGATTCCAAGTCTGGCATTCCCCATCCCATCCCCACCTCCTCTTGGTGCTAAGGTAGAGGTTGCCAAACTTTTCCATAAAGACTAGTAGTAAATGTCTTAACCTTTGAAAGCCATATGGTCGTTTACAATTATTCAGTAGTGCTATTGGAGTGAATGTCTCTACAACCATCTATAAACTGCCCATAGTTATGGCTGTGTCCAAAAAAACTTCATTTACAAAAACAGGTGTAGAGCCATGTTTGACCTGCATGCTGATGCCTGATTTTCTTAGGCCTTTAGCCCTCCAGCTCTGTAAGCTATAGTGCTAACATAGCTTCTCTGACTCTATCCCTTTCCTGGAGCCACTGAGCCCCTGACAGTCTTGGGAAAAAAACAAAAACAAAAACAGGAAAGAGTTGTTAATTGTAGAAGTCCACGTCACCTGAGCCTGTGACCAACCATAGAAGAAACCAGGACTGAAGTCAGAGAAGTCAAGCTTATTCCAGGCTGAGGCCAGGCTCTTCAAGCAACTCCGGGAAGGACCCAAATGTCCATCAAGTTGAAAAACAAATGGCGAATTCATTTGATAGAA